CCTGCAGCTGCGGGAGCAGAAGAAAGGTAACGCGCCGGGTCCGGCCCGGCCCGGCCCCGGGGCCTCCTCTCGCCCCTTCCTGCCGCCCGCCAGGGGCCCGGGCCCGGGCTGAGCGCCGCTCTCTGCTCCTCCAGCCCTGCTGGTCGCTGTCAGCGCCTCCGTGGACAAGATCGTCGCCCACTTCAGCGCCGCCAGGAACCTGGTGCAGAAGGTGAGGCCGGGGGTGTCCTGGGGCCCCGGGGGCGGGGGCTTGGCTGCTGCAGGCCCTGGGTGGGGGCTGGAGACAGCCGCCTCCTGCCCTCCCTCCGGCCAGGGGCTCGCAGCATCCGGCCCGCCTCTCCTCTTCCCCAGGCCCAGCTGGGGGACAGCCAGCTCAGCCCGGACGTGGGCTACCTGCTGCTGCGCACTTTGTGCCCGGCGCTGCACGCGCTGGTGGGGGACGGGCTGAAGCCCTTCCAGAAGGACATCATCACAGGCCAGAGGAGGAGTTCCCCTTGGAGCGTGGTGGAGGCCTCGGTGAAGCCAGGTAGTTTGTGCAGCGCTGGCTGCAGGGAGGAGATGCCACCCCGTGGGTAGTGGGAGGAGCGCAGGGCAGGCAGCAGAGCCCGAGGGGGCGGGAGAGGGGGCACGAGCCACGTCCCTGCGGAGCTCGCACCTGTTCCCGCAGCACCTCGTCCGCTGGTGCCTGCTGCAGCACAGCCGTGGCGGGCCGTGCCCACGTGCACACCAGGTGGGGTGTTAAGCAGGGGTGAGTGGCAGTGATTGCTGCATGCCCTGTGCCCGCAGGCCCTGGCACCCAGTCGCTGCAGGCCCTGTACTGGCGCATCTCGCGGCTGGCTCCTCTCAGCAGCAGCAGGCAGCGGTTCCACGCCTTTGTCCTCGGCCTCCTGAAGTAAGTGGTGTCCAGGGGCTGCCCCTGGCGCTCTGCCTGGGCGCTGCAGGAGGGGACGGTGCAGCGCAGAGCAAGGCCTCAGCAGCCGCAAATCCCAAGGGGTCCTGAGGGCATGTGCTGCCTGGGCTTGCTCGTGTTGGCACCCTGCAGCTGTGAACTCTCGTCGGGCTGCTTCTGGCTGAAGGCAGCTGTTCAGGGTAGAAGTGGGAGCAGGTGGCTCTGGGGAGGTGTTGCTTTGGCCCCCTGATGGGGAGTGGGGTCAGACCAGGCTCAGCCCTGTGCTTCCCTTTGCCTCCGCACCAGGAAGAGGCCTGAGGCAGGGGCAGGCAGCGGCTCCCTGCCAGGATCCCAGTGCGGGACCCGAGTGTGTCCTTTGGCGCTGGTCTCTGCTATCCTCAGACAGGCCTCACCTGCCCCTCCTGGGCAGGGGTGTCCCTCACTGTCATGTGGAGACCATGCCCTGGGACGCCCTGGCCTGGTTGCCCTGCGCTGCCTGCAGGGAACGCTGTGGGTCTCGTGTGGCGCGATGCTAACTTGGACACTTTCTGCCTTGTTCAGCCTGAAGCAGCTGGAGCTGTGGATCTCCCAGTTGCAGAAGAGCCCAGGTAAGGCAGTGGACAGGGAAGCCCTGGTTTGGGTCCCGTGCTGGGAGCCAGGACTTCTGTGGGGGGCAGCTGGGTGTGCTGGGGCGTCCCCTGCATGGTGCCTGCTCACTGGTGCGGCCCTTGTCTCTCTCAGGTGTCATCTCCGTTCTCTACTTGCCCTCGGCCTTTCTTGCCCTGAGCCAGGGGCCCCTCCCACACTTGGCCGATGAGCTGCTGCTCCTCATCCAGCCCCTCTCGGTGCTCACCTTCCACCTCGACCTGCTGTTTGAGCACCACCATCTCTCTGTGGACATGAGGCCCCTGCCAGACCCTGCTCCTGGCCCGACCCTGGTCCCTGCTTCAGCTGCCCGTCCTGCTGAAACCCGGGGCCCCCTCACTCAGGCTCAGGGGGCCCAAGCCGAGGGCCAAGGCAGCACCGAGAGGGCCAGCCCGGAGCATGGGGCTGCCCCAGATGGCCTGGGCAGGGCAGGCCTCACGGGCACAGAGGACAGCACAAGGCCCCAGCTAGCAGCAGCTGCCACCAGCCTGTTCCCCAGCCCACGGGTGGGGGTCTCACTGCAGCAGACCTTTCAGCACGTGCTGCAGTGGGGTGGCCGGCTCAGCCACGCACTCACAGGAGCCGACGGCCCCTCCCGAAGCCCTGAGCATGACCAGGGCCCTCGGGGCACCAGGGCAGGGCTGGGCGGCTGGTGGGGGCAGCTGAGCCAGGCCTCAGGGGTCTACACAGCTTCTGGCAAGGAGGACTTTCCCTTCACCCGCTGGACAGCGCTGCGAACGGCCCCAGGGGATCCCAGCCCGATTAACGCATCCTGCCTGGCACCAGCCAAGGGGTCCAGCAGCTCGGAGCTGCAGCCTCTTGAGGCCAGGACTGGCACCAGCGCTATGAGCCCAGACTCTACCAGCGGGGCAAGGGCCTTGGGGCTGCCCTTGCAGGCCACAGCTAGGGAGCCCACGGGCCCCGGGGACCCCACGCTGCCAGAGCCTGCTGCTGGAGACAGAAGCCAACCTATGTTGGAGGAGCCTGGCTGGGGGAAGGGTGCCTGGCTGGGCCGCCTCTTTGGAGCCACCTGTCCATCTGCCCGAGGCCTTCCCATGGAGCCTGACACCAGTTCAGCCAGACCCAGGTAATGCCCAGGTGGGGCTGGGCAGTGGGAGCCCCCTGCACTGAGGGCTGGCGCTCTCAGGCTGCCCAGTGGAGCAGGGCCGCGAGCAGTGTTCAAGGGCTGGGTTGGCCCAGCAGGAGCCACAGAGAGACCCGGGAGGGGGGGCGGGGGGGAGAGGAGGTGGCAGAAGCAGCACACCTGCTGCACAGCCCTGTGCCAGGCATGGGCGAGCCCCCAATAGACACATGAAAGCTCTGTGCCCCTGGCTTTGGCGTGACTTCGCCTGCCAGCTCTCAGCTCTGTCACAGATGGAGCCGTGGGCAAGAGCCCCTGGGTCAGCTCGATACCTGCTGCTCTCACGCCCAGTGCCAGCTGTGCCCAGAGCCAGTGCCCGTCCTGTGCAGCGCGCCCCAGCTCCAGGCCTGGCTGCTCGGGGCGACAGCAGAGTTCAGCTGCTGCCTTGGAGGGTGGCAGGCTCAGCTCTTTCTGCTGGCATCTGCCTGGGGCTTCTCAGCCCCCATGGGGCCCTGGCCCCTGATGCCCTCCTTCCAGGTCCGGGGGGGCAGCGGGGGTGCCGGCCCGGCTGGCGACTCCTTCTGCTCTCCTGCAGGAGACCCTCCAGCTGGCTGCGCCCCCCCGTGAGCATGCTCTCCCTGGCGAGGAAGGGGACGGCCCCTGAGCAGCCCTGGCCTCTAGAGCAGCAGAAGGAAGGGCCCGACTCGCCTCAGCCCCACAGGTGAGGTGGGGCCTTTGGGTGCTTGGGGCTGTGCGGGGCAGGCTGCAGGGGCAGGTGTCCAAACACATGGAGGGCTGGGGCAGGCCTTGGGTACAAGCGGCTTGGTGGCCCCAGTTGACTCAGACTCGCACCTTTAATGCTATCTCTTGTGTACAGGGCAGTGCGGGCGCTGTGCGACCATGCAGGCGCCGGGCACGGCTACCTCAGCTTCCGCAAGGGCGACGTCCTGCAGCTCATGGCCACTGTGGACGAGGACTGGATCCGCTGCTGCCACAAAAACGACACAGGCCTCGTTCCTGTCAGCTACACCTCCCTGATCGTGTGAGGGGTATGGCAGGGAGCTCCTACCCCTACCCCTGCCCCAGCTCTGCAGGCAGCTGTGGGGGTCACCCTGGGCCAGGGGTTGGCAGGGGCCGCATGGCACTGCTCCTCATGGGCACTGTTCCTCATGGGCACAGCCTGGCAGTGCCCTCCCTGCTGGTGCCCTGCTGCCTCACCATGCCTGCGTCATCTTGGCTGTGCCCGTGGGCTCCTGAGGCCCCATGGCCGTCACCCTCATACTACCCCCGTGCTGCTGCTTGTGTCCTGCTGCCTGCCACCTTGCATGCCCTGGGTGGCCCTTCCCTCCATAGCCATGCCAGAGCCGGGCTCCCACTGTCCCCTTGAGACAGCTGTGTGCACAGAGCCCAATGTGCGGCCTTGGGTGCGGGTGGAAATAAAGATGTGTGTGCAAGGCAGGGTGTGTGGCTGCCTCCTTTCTACTGGGCTGTGTGGGGAGCTGGGCTGTGCCTGCAGAGCCAGGCTGCAGGACCTGCTGGGGCAGCCTGCCCACTCAACCCCTGCCCCCAGCACTAGGCAGCAGCTGCCTTGGAAGGGGTGAGGAGGGGGTTGGGGGCAGGATTCTGGGGTGGGGATGCTGGTGTTGGGGCAATCAGGGAGCTTGTGGGTGCGGGGCACGGAGGGGTTTGGTGGAGTGCTGGCAGTGATG